TCTCTATGGCTTCCCAAGAAGGAAAAGAGGAGAGGCAGGTGCTGATCTCTTCTCCCTGGTGTCCAGTGATGGGACACGTGGGGATGGTTCAAGGTGGTGCCAGGGAGGTTTAGACTGGACATTAGGAAACATTTCTTTAGCAGGAGTGTGGTCACAAACCTCAAGAGGTCTCCTAGACAGGTGGTCAATGCCCCCAAGCCTGTGTCTTTGCAGGGGGCTCACAGGCATGACAGTGGTAATACAAGTGCCCTTGGGCTAAGAAGCTGAGACCAAAAACTGTATCAAAATCCCTGATGATTCAATAAGCAAATCAGCATTACAGCACTAAAATCTACAACTAACTGACCTTGTACCGCTAAAAGCTGCGACGCAGTTTAAGTATTGCTGCCAAACTATTTTGAACTCTAACAGCAATGAAGTGTTTAACATTTGAATTCCAGTGAAGTTACAAATGTCTCTACAGGCTTTCTGATCCAGCTGGGTGTTCTAAAAGTACTCCCACCAACTCAGAACTTCTAAAAGATAGTGAGGAGATGATTTTGTAGTTCTAAAATTTCACATACCCTCTACCTTAGGTGGCTGCCAGCACAGTTAGATGGAATTTTTAGATCCCAGTAGTACTACACATCTCAGTGATACATAAAGAGCAGGGAAGAAAAAGCAATAGAGTGCCAGGCTTAGCTGGCACTCTGGAAACTCTTTAGAGCCTGAGACTGCTTTTATCAGCCCAAAGCATATGTGAAGTTTTGAAAAAGTGCTCCAGATTTGTCACATTTCAGTGAACTCCAGACAAGTACAGTAAATTTGGGTAGAAGGACACGTTAATGTTGCAGAAGGGATACAAAGCAGATGTACGGGCAAATGAGACTGAATCATGTCTCCTATTTGAAGACTAGAGACTGAATAAGCAGGAGAGCTCTTTGCCACTATAACTAGCTATTTATGTCTGCATGTGCATGGGGGAAAAGATTAATAATTGAAAAGAGCTTCTCATATCTATTAATAGTTGTATCCAAGTAGCTGTTACACTCCACAAACTTCTACTGCAGGTGTTGAGAAAAACTCAAACGAGGTATTTTGTAATACGGTTTTATATTTTATATTTCAAATGAAGTTATACCTTCACTATGTATTTGAAATGCTGCTTTAAATGATTAACCACCCAAATCTGAATGAAAGAATAAAATATTTATTTTAAAATTCCCAGAAGCAGTGTTTCACTACCTAATTGTAAAAGGGAACATAGGCTACCCCTCAAATAGAATCTTTAGTCTGCAGTGCTCTTTTAAACTATCTCTGCCTAAAACATTTGAAGCAATTGCAAGAAGATTCCTCAACACTCACAAAAATCCCCTATTTTAAGCTTGGTTTTGGAGCAGAATTTCGTTCTTCAGTAATGGTACTACCATCAGACCATTACCTAAGAATGAAGAACAAAAGTAAAACATTAACATCATTACTCTCTGTAAAGTTTTAAAAAATCTTGCAGTTTCTTTCTTGACACAATCTGCCATTTCCTTCTAAAAAGCTAAACCCTTGATTTTGCTTTCTAATCACTCACTTGAAGCTATGCAACATTCTTGAACTGCATATCACCTTCTGCCACTTGGTCAGCACATTCTGATTTCCTCTCACATCTTTTGAAAATTCCTCAGCCTCACAGCTCCTTGTATCTTTTCTGTGAACTTTTCTCCTTTGCTTCACATTTCTCTATCCTATTCTGTGAAACATCCACATGATTAATGCTGGTTTAAACCCATTCAGAAGTGCACCTGTTCTGTCCCTGCACATGTCTAGGAGATCATTCATGCTGTAAAAACACATTCTTTTTTCCTTCCAAGATTCTCTACGATTTTTTAATATGCTGTATTACACAGGAGATGCTGTTAATATACTGGACACACTTCCCAGTATATATCTCCACTTAACTGTGCTATGTATAAACAGGAGGATAATTTTGCTAAATATTTTACCCACCACCTTTCCCAACTACCCACATAAGTAAAGTAACTTAATCCTTTTTTAAAATACTGACTTTGTTTTGTCAAGAAGTACAACCATGTGTTCCCTGTTTGCAAGTAGGGGAAGAAAGATGAAATTTAGGTTCCATACTTCTTAATGTGGATTATTTTGCTGTTCTAGTTACATGCTGAAATGAGTTACTATGAAGGTTTGTGGCACAGGCCCTAGAGGGCACTAGGAAGCCACCTGGAGTGCCCACGATTGGTAATCACTGGCTACTTGGAAGAGTTCAACTACTAAATTCAGTAAAACATTTCTTTTTCATAAATTGAGCCAGTCTCCATTTTATGTGATTACTATGTTTCTGTCTCCTAAGAGACCCTATCACAGACTGACAATGAAGCAGGTTCCCTTACTTCCTGTGAATTAAAGCATGCTCATCCCTTCATGATTTGCTTATCCTAAGTAACATGGAAAAGCAGCACTGACTGCATATTTGGGTCTAATCCTACATTGCTTGAGTATTTTGTTGTCAATCTTCATGAGTCAAGAAATTAAAAACTGCACTTCTTTGCATTCTTCCCCTGGTATCTACTAACATACCTCATTTATGTTGCATTAATTATGATGTTACTTACCAAAAACTATATTCAAGAATGCTAAACTGCCTAAGAAAAAAAAAAGTATTTGTAATAAAAACCTACTTTGTGTGTTGATTTATTTCTATTAAATACAGTTTAAATGCCTAGTCCTCACAAAAAAAAAAAAATCAAATACCTTCTCCAGGTTTTGAAGTACAAAGCTACACTCTGTAACCAGTTTATGACACATTAATACTCAGACCAGCAGTCTACTATCACACTCATGATGAAAACCTCCCTCAAAGTTGGCCCCAAGAACAGCCAGTATATCACACAGCTGTTGTTGTTGCTTTGTTGAATTTGGACATAATTCTGTCATTCAATTTGTAATACATTACTGATAATTTTGATGTACAGTAAAAGGACGGGAACAATTACAAAATCAAACCAAACTACTTTTCTTTTTTCTTCTTTTTTGTTTAAGAAAATTAAATCCAAACTCTTCTACTTAAATAATAAGCTCATATTCCTTTTCTGCATTATTAAAAAAATTTTATTAATGTTCAAATAAGAAACTTGAATCTGAGGATTTATATATATTTCTCTCTTGCAGTGAGGGGTCATTGATTGCAACATGATTGCCAAGGAGTGTTAATGCTGGCATGGGCTGTGATTTGCTGCCTAACACTCACTGACTGTATTTTATCAAATAAATAAGTGGGAAAAGAACTGTAAATAAATTGTATGCATAGGGAGTGTGCTACTTTTCTTGCCTATTAAAATATTGTTATAAAATATTTTACCAGAAATAGCACAAGACAATTTAAGACTATTTTTCTAGATGTGGTTATTAGTATGCCGAGCACATTGTAATTCTGTTTAATTGCATATTTGCAAAAGACATCTTATATAGTAAAATTTGAAGCTATATTAGTACTCTTCTTTACCTTCTTATTTCCAGCACTTCCATGGATTAGTTTTTGTTAAGTAAAATATTGTTTTAATCTGTACAAAAAAGGATATATGAATGAAACCTGGTATCTAGTGAATATTAACATGTAAGTGAAAAAAAAAATTTCTTTACCCATTTATGTAAAAAGCCAATGTCTGTAAGTTAATCTTTTATGTGTTTACAAAGGTTTGGAGCCTGTTCTTCAACATTTTCTTCATATTGTGCTTGACTAATGCTTTTGCAGATGAACAAATCTGGCTAGAGGGAGCAAATGAGCTAAAAATCAAAATCATAGAATTTTAAATTTTTATATAGAAAGCAAGCTGGTCAAAAGAAAAGTATGGCTATTCCATTACTCTGTTCAATATGCCTATGACTAGATCTAATCACCTAAACACATTCCTATGCCCTACTGTTCACCTGGGCAGGGTCTCTACACCTGTCAGAGTTCACAGCTTCATATCCACACTTTGGACATCCCAGGCTGCCAGCAGGAATGTCATCTGCACAGCAAAGACCAAAATTTAAGTGTCTGCCTAAGAACCTGGGGAGCAAGTTTCTGCCAGAGGCAATAAGGCAAATGTAACTTGACTCAGTTGCTCATGAACACATGGTTTAGTGTCAGAAGTGAGGTATAACCCACATTTCACATGGGGCTGATGGAAACCTGTCCCTTTCTGCAACCAGAGGCAGAGGCCAGCTCGAGTATCTTCAGACATCTCCACTGAACAGAAAGACAAATCTGTACTGACTGTTTGGGAAGACCCTCCCATGAGACACCCTAAATGTATTTTTCTTCTTCAGTGGGCTTATTCTCAACCCAAAACAACAAATTTGACTGTTAAATAAAGTATCAGGGAACCATCTGTAAAGAAAATAAGAAATATTGCACTATAATGTTGTCTGATAAACATTAAAAAGTAATTACATGAAAAAATTGTAAATTGCTTTTGCAGAATAAATTATAAAAATGAGCCCAAATTAACATCTATTGCCAAATCAGTTGTATCAATGACATCTTTTTAATGCTTGTTGTAAGGATTGGTCCATTCCATCACTCCTGGGGATGATAAAAACTTAACACTAACATTAAGAAAACTGTAACTCATGAAATGGAAGATCTGAATATTGAAACACATATCTCATTAGTCTCATGCAAGGAAAGCATGAGGAAAGCAAATATAAATATAAATATATACATACTGGTGTACAAAGTGTTCTCTATTAAACTAAAGACTCCCCCTCCAAACCTTCAGTACTGCATATTTAGAATATACTTGGACTCACTATTTGACAGGAAGAGAATTCTTATGCAGGAAGAATATTCAGCTTTCTCAAAAAATAACTAACTTAGGAACACTCAAGTATCTGCCAGATGGTAACTAGTCAGAATCTGCAAATGAGACCCACACATATGTATTAATACATACATCAAAATGTAAGTTCAGTAAGATCACATTTAAAAACAAAGCTTGTTTATAAATCCTAATTCAACACCCTGCAAAGTGTTTTTTAATGAAAAGAATTGAAGTATCAGCATTTTAGCAAAGAACAGGTGAAGGGTTAAAGGAAATACATTCTGCTTGCCCCTGGCTCAGATGAGCAAAATACACTGGAGTCTTTTAGGGATTAGAGATAGAATGAGTACGAAGAGCATTTAATTTTAGTTCATATCTCTGTATACCACTGAGAACTAAAAAGAAAAGTTCATTCTTTCTAGGAATTTTGTGTGCATAATTTTATAACCCTAGACAACTTTCTGTGAAATTTCTTACACAGTAAGGAGACAGTTACAAACCCCTCATTTTGGAGGAACACATCTCCCTCTGCAGGTCTCTAGAGGCACCAGTCTTCCTGCAAAATTCCTAAGGCACTGAGCTTGAGCAGACTGCACTGTGCCTCCTTTAGGATTGCACCCTCCCTCCCAAGACTGAGCTTTACATTTCAGAGACACGCTGCTTAGGATACACATAAGTGCACAAGACAAGAGTAGGCTATATTATTTGGATCTTCTTTCCAATTTGCTTTTGTATGTGATTTGCCAAAAGGCTGCACTATTTAATTTATTCTCCTTAGATGTTTGATATCAGCTAAGTCAAACTTGGAACTCACACTGGGCAAGTGTCAATGGAACTGCCAGGCCTGCATTTACTTCCATGCTTTTAGCTGCTACTCTTAAATTTTCAGAATTTTCAAGTATCTTTTTTGTACCTAGTCTTGTTAACTTCTGTGTAATTTTCTCTGATTCAGATAGCCAAACAACCCAGTCTCTAATTAAGGTATTAATACTTGCATATTAATCTATTTTGAAAACACCAATCTATATAATGTAGCTGAAATAGGTATATGGAAACAGAAAAAAGTCAAAATAGATTTCTTAAGGGTTACACAATACAGCGATGACAATGACAGAAGTATTTTTCATAGCATAAGAAAAAATCTGTTATGATACTTTCCTAATTTATGTTGACTAAAGCTTGCATAGAAATAGGCAGCTCCTTTATTCTGGCATTTCTTTGATAAATGTTTATGTAGCACGATCAGTGTTGTAATGCCCTATTTTTAAGTCACCTGAAATGCAAGGGATACAAAACACTCACAGTATTAGAGTAATTGCATTATTAATCGATCTTCTGTTAGTAATGGAACTTCAGAGGCAGTGTCTGTATTTATTTTATAATTTCATTTGAATTACTTTTGTAAGAGAGACGGATTGGGTTTGCATGGCCAGGTTTTGGTAGCAGGGGGGCTGCTGTGGGAAATTGCCAGAGGCGTCCTCCTTGTCCCACGGAGCCGATCCCGGCCGGCTGCAGGACCGAGCCGACGCTGCCCAAGGCCGAGCCCATCAGAAATTGTGGCAGCGCCTCTCTTACCTGGTAAGAGATTTAAGAAAAAAAAAAGCTGTTGTGCAAATATAGTTGTGAAAACGCAAATGTAATTGTGAGACTATGTACGAGCAACATCTCTGCAGGCAGCCAGGTCAGTGAAGAAGGAGGGCGTGAGGAGATTCCCCCGCAGCCCAGGGAGACACAGGGGGATGCAGAGCTCCACCTGCAGCCCGCGGAGGAGCCCCGCCGGAGCAGCTGGATGCCCGAGAGGAAGCTGTGACCAGAGCCAGGAAAAAGAAGGCCGGGTCCCGTTACCGTGCCACGGGAGAGGGCCCGGGAGCCGCCCTGCAGCGGTACATCCCGGCCCCGAGCAGGCCCGAGCCCGCAGAGCCCGGCCGGCAGCGCAGGAAGTGACGCGGCCCTCAGGGCGGCGCTGCGCTCGGGCCGGGCCGGCCTCTGCCCGGGGCGGTGCCACCCGCCCGCCCGGCCCGGCCGGGCCGGGCGGGCGGGTGGCACCGCCCCGGGCAGAGGCCGGCCCGGCCCAGCCCGAGGCCTCCGCGCTGCCCGGGGCCCGGCTCCGAGCGGAGAAAGCGAGTCCGGCCCCGTCTCCCGGGAGGCAGAACGCGCTTCTCCTGTTTGCTGCCAGCCGCCTGTTGCTCCGCAAATACCCTCACTCCTTCTAGGTGTTCTTCTCATGTGAGAGCAGTAATCTCGTCCGTGGCCTCTTCCCCATCTTTAGACAGCCTGCTTGCTGTTGGAGCATCTGTCCAGCTGGATGGACAGATCCTTAATCCTAGTTAAGATAAAAGTGCTGTTAAGTTGTAGATATCAGTGTTAGATCCTCACTGGAGAGTTCAGGCAGTGCAGGTAACCGAGGTGAAGCAACATTTCCCGCCCGTGATTTCCCCATGTTTCAGACAATACTCACACAACGCGGCACCAGTGCAGTGACTCCGCTACACACGCACCGTCCTCAGCTTCTCACCTCTGGCTACAAACAGGCTGGGAGAGAAAGGTGGATGAAGTTTAGATGGATTTTTAAAGCTGCATAAGAATTGTGTGAAAATGTGGAAGAAATACAGAGTAGTGGCTCTGAAGGAAGAAGGAAAAAAAAAAGGGTAGTTTGTGGCTGCAGGCTAGAGGAAGGTGGTTCAAACAAGAGTAAAAGTCATTATGAATGGCCAGTTTCCTTTCATCACAATAAACAAACTTAGACTTTGACATTCTAGTTTTTGTGTGGTTAGGAGACAATAGTATGATGGCCCAGAGTTAGGCATAATTTTCTCATAGTTTTCCCTTGATAGAAGTCAGTCAGAAAGTATGGACTAGCTGAAGAAACTGTAAAGGTATTAATGTGAGTTTGAATGCACTGTTTGATCTATAGTGCTCTTTGACCTCAATAGCTATTAGCATCTGCATTAAAAATTCCTTAAACTTTTTTGAACTCAGATTACACCTGGAGAGATGTCAAATATATAATATCAAATATCAACATAGCACAACTCTGTAAATATAGAAGCAAATAATTACTTATAGATAATGTAAGGAGTTTTAAACAGGATGATTTCTTCTAATGGAGTTGAATTTTGCTAGTTCAATGCTTATTCAATGTGACACATAATCTTTATAGCTCATAACTCACCATGATTAAATGAATAAAACCATTTCGAGTTCTGTGAGTCCATAGAAGTGCCAGGGATTCATGTGCCTTTTAGAAATAAATGTGCCTTTATTTTCAAGAATGAAAATAATTTAATTAATTGTACCTTTTCTGCAAGCTCTGGGCATTATTTAATTTCATCTACAGAGGAAAGATGGAAAGTGATACAAACTTCCAACATACAATTAAATGCTATATTTTTTTTTCTCTTCTTTGAGCTCAAACTGAAAAAGGGATAAACAAGTGATCTCTATTATAATAATAGAAAAAGGGAAATGTAAGAAGTTACATATAATGGAAGAGATAAATCATGAGTACATTGACAGATGTTACTTAAATGAATATAAAAGGGAGATTTCATCATTAAGTCATATGTGCTGAGTAATGGTTTAAATTGATACTTGTAACTCTTTTCTTCTCAGAGGTTTTCTTTGGTTAGAAAAATAAAGGTAATTGAGTGAATGGCAGAATTTATTACTTGGCTTCAAAAGACCATTTGTAAAGCCTGTCTTTTAGGTCACATTTCAACACTAATAATGTAGGGAAGAGTGCATTTTGGTTTGGGAAAAAAATCTAATTAGCCATTTGAAACAGATCACAAATATATTAGGGAAAAACTGCCAAAGATTGCATCAAAGTTTTTATGACATATAGGAATCACATCACAGATTAGGCACACATTTATTTATCCCATATATTGCTTTGATACAAATGAAAGGAGCAGTTTCATCCATTAGAAGTCCTGATCGGAAGATTCACATGTATTTTTGAACTGAAGAACTCAACACTTTGTTTATGACGTATTATGACTAATGCTGTTAGTTCTTTTCTTATTTTTGATTGCTGTTGAGCCTAACTATTCTAACAAATGTTTTTATGTTAAGTAACTCAATGCTGCACACCCTAATTACCTACTGCACTCATAATAATCTTGTTTATTTAGAAATGTCTTTGCTCCCTAGCCTGGGCAAGGACACCTATTGACTCTCATAGATAATAATCAAAAACTGTTTGTTTATAATCTTCATTCTCCAAATTCCCTGAAATGAATTTTATGATAATTTTAACCCAGTTAGAAGCTGCTGAAAATGTATTTGGAATGCTACTGAGGCCAAATCTAAAAGAATAGTGTTTATGGCCTAATAAAATACTGCTTTTAACCTTGCAAAATGAGTTTACTTCTAATCTTTGAAAATGAGATCCTACTTGCCTCTGGTTTGTGTCCCACCTCTCCAGAAGTGTTACTGTTTCACTGGCTGGGGATTCTGCTTTCTGTGCAGAGAACGCTGTGGCACCACAAACCCGGAAAAAAAAAAAAAAAAAAAAAAAAAAAAAAAAAGCAAACCAGCAAACAGACATGGAACAAAGAAGTAGAGTAAGATTTGATTGGTTTGATTGCACATGAAGATCAAAGTATTTACCAAGCTATAGTTATAATTAACCTATAATGGTCATCACATTCATAGGCCACCCTGGTTTCACCATGCTGCTGCAAGTATTTTGTTAGCGGCATCCTTTCATAAAACTATTTGCAGTTATGTCATATCTAAAAGCCAAGGCTGTGAGTCAGGACTAAATTTATTTGTTGCCAGTTCGTATCCATTTCTTTTTGGCCAGCATTACCTTTAACCAAAGGAGCTCTTCTTGCTCCCTAGTATTTAATCTGTGATGTATTTTTAAGGATCCCTTCTCAACCTTAGGTAATGCAACCTGTTAGGTAATGCAAGCCAAGAGCAGTTGTCTCCTCTTGTTAGACAGCCACCAGTGCCCTGATCATTCTAATTCCCTCTTGCTCTCCTTCCAGTCAACATCCTTAAGCAACAGTGAACACAAATGGATACAGTATTCCAGATTAAGTTTCACAAGTCATTTATTAAAGAAATATTTATTTTGTGTATGTACTCACTTGCTGTGTTCTAGGGTCCTATTTGTCCTTTTGAAAGTTGCATCACATCAGAAACAACAGTGATTCTGCATGTGAATAGCATTTGTGGGCCTTCTGTACTGATGGTTTCCCACAGCTGAGATTATGCTAATAACAGAAATATTGACCTGCCACCAGGTGGATGTCCTTTCATTTTGCACAGTTGAATTTCAGGTAGTCACATAAGCAATTCTGTCTCTAGTCTTCAGATGTTTCCCATATAACATTAAAAAACATCTTCTTTAAATGCTGCTCAGCTCTCAGTTTTTAAGTCAGTAGCACAGCTAGTGCTGGTGTAATTACTGAAAATATTAAAGTCAGTCTCAAAATGGATCTTTGAGGTACTCTACTAGCAAGTTTCTTTCAGTGTAACAGTTTCTTTTAATAATTTTTAGATGTCTCTCCCCATCATCATCTTTTGTTTCTTGTTTTAATCCCTGTCTTCATTGGATTGGTAATGTCTCATACCATGCAGTATCAGAAACTTTATTTAGATACTGCAAGATTAGATATACTATAGTATATAGTATATCCTATAGTGACTTTATATCAAATTCAGATAGTCATGCACAAACCCCTCTATGTCCAGGTCTGATATAGTAAGCTGACAGTATTTGGGATTCTGTCTCTGAATTACTAATTGAGTAATGCTTAATTTTCATAAAATTGTGCTTACCTATTAATCACAACTGGAAGAATGTTTGCTTTCACGTATGGATAATGTCACTTTAATAGCTAGTGCTTCTTTGCAACAATGTTAATGCTTCCATTACAGTAGAATAAATACTGAAACTCTTAAATTGCTAAAATCATATTTTAAAATTTCTGTAGATATTCACCGGAAGCCTCAGGAACACTAATTTATATTTCAGGCTAAATAAAGATTCCATTCTGATTGGAGTTACCAGTATAAACCCCTTAGCTGGAGAGTATCTGTCCCTGATTTCATCCAGTGAAAAATATTTCAGATTCAGACTCATTGTTATAAATGCTTTTTTAAAATCATCTCTTGTTATATTAGATCAGAAAAAATAATTCCATGTTGTACACCTAGGCATGGTTAAGTATGTAAAGGAAAGGTTTGGTTATTTACGCAGACTAGGACATCAGTCAGGATGAATTGATGTCATCCCTCCTCTCTAATGGCTCTACCTGTGTTATTTTTTTCATGTTAAGACAGTGGAGTTAAATACTTGTGATCCAACCTTGCCATAACAGTTAGCTCTGTGCTACATAAATGGAAACAGAGCAGGTTTTTAATTGTGATGAGGTAAGCTCTCTCCCTACATTTCATCAGGGATTTGACATGACTTGCTGAGCTGGTTATGTAGCATATAACCACAGCCCTTTCCCACAGGAAGGACTTGGCAGGGGAACAGCAAAGCTGGTAAATGTAATTACCTGCTATTCCGTGACTCTCAACGCATGAATGATGAAATGTTTTCTGTGACACTCGCTTCTAGCTGCAAAATATGATTCCTTCTTTTGCTGCTTGTTGATGGCAGAAAGGCAGGGGAAGGTGTGCACTGCAAGGCTGTGGAGGATAGAGGGGATGACACTTTCCATGGAATCAGTCTGTTTCCAAACAGCCCTTTGGTTGTGAGGCCACACATGGTAGTGCTGGCTGCTTGCTACCTCACAGGAGCATTTTTTCACTTCAAGAGTAGGCAGTATTGCACCTTCTTTTCTACCACTGTTATTTTATGCTTCCAGTTTTTATCAAGATTAAGCTATTAATAATATTTCCTGTAATTGTGAGTGGTGAGTTCCTGCTTCTGGTATTTCTGCATTGCCCATTTCTCCTACCTCCTTCACAGTCTTGT